AGAGTTTTTCCATCATTCTGAAATACTCTTTCTCAGCCTTACCAATTTCCCCATCTTCAAATGAATATATATTTGTATACACTGACTAAGAGCCTGTCACATTTAATGTGCTGTCCTGGGGAAGGGAGGCACTGGACTGGAGGAGAGTAGGACACAGGGAGAGGAAGGGGGCCACGGGAAGGAGGGGGAAAGAATTTCAGAAAATTGCATTGAACAGATTGTTGTTCTCTCTCCCCACTTTATGAACATTCCTCAAACTGGAATTTAAAAGATCTCAGGAATCAAAGACATGGCACAAACAGGGCACAGAGACTGTAACATTCAATCGTAGGGTTAATGTTAAATGTAGATTCAAACTCAACACTTTAAAAGTTTTCTTTAGATACACTGTTGAACTCATTCAATATGCAAAAGTGGTGACCAGTAAACTTGAGCATATAGTGAAAGTAAATCTGATTCTCCCTCAGACCCTCGCCTGCCACCTTCCATCGTAAGAGCACAGCACAGGTGGCACACTGAAAAGAACCCATCACTGGGATGGATGTCTCTTCTCTTTCTCCACTCCCTTTTTACATCCGTGGGTATGCAGAACCCTGTTCTCTAGCAATGCTATGTAACAACAGTTGTGCCACAGTAAGGATTAAGAAGTGCATCACTGTTCAACAAAAAAATGTGTTTATATAGAAAAACAGACCTCCAAATGAGGAAACTACTCTGGGAGAAATCAACTATTCTCAACAAAATGTGCCTCGATGAAGATGTACCTAATTGCTGTTGGCAATACTTGCAGACCTGCTGATTCGTAGTTAATAAGTCATCAAAATATTTTGTAGGAAAGCTGTCCCAGCACTCTAGAGACTTTAAAAAGGCAAAGTTTCGGCAAAACACAAGATAAAAGTGCCCTAAGGGATTATCAGAACTAATCTAAACCACCAAAATAAGCCAACAAGATGTGGAAAATGTCAGAGGATACTTTTTAATATGAAGATTTCCCAAATCAGTGATCATAAAATAAATACTAACATACACACAGTATATAGCTACTATCCTTTGTGTTGTGTATTGTGTTATTTGTGTTTGCAAATGCAAAATAATGCATGATCTTGGCCAAAATACCAGATAGTATAGTTCATAAATGTCTAAAATAAAAAGTAATTAAAGTATCTCCCTACCTTATCTTATTTTGCTAGTGTTTTAATCCTTCTAGATCAGGTTTTGTTTTGATCTTGCTCTAATAAATTCATTCCTTCTAATAAAATTCTACTCCCCCACTTTTTGGGAGGGTGGGTCTGGCTGGATTGCAATGAGGATAAGATAGCAAGTTTTTCAGTCTTAAAAAAATGAAAAAAGCTATTTTTAGCTAGACAATATAACTCAAACCCCCTTTATTTGCTAGAATAAGGAGAATCTTCTACCTTTAGACTGTCTGATGAATACTTCTGAGTCTTTCCTAAAGATACAACAAACTGCAACAAACTAAAATACTCAATAGAATTCAATTACCACTCAAGGAGGAAAAACAAAGCAAAACAAAGCATCCAGAAGGAACTCCAGAATTCTTAAGGAGTAAAAGCCTAGCACTTGGCTCCTGGCATTGAGCTGGGAGTCAGTAGATCTATGGACTTCAGGACCCCGTGACTTTGAGCAAGTTACTTCACTTCTCAGTTTTCCCAGACTAAATGAAGAATAACCAATACATGCCCCAGTTCTGACCAGGCTCCTCCAGGTCCACAATAGACAAGGCAAATCAAACAGCCCTTTCCCCACTGAGTGTAAATTCTGCCTCCATCCTTAGGCAGTCACTACCAGCAGATGAGAAGTGGCAAATTCTATTTGCCTAAAGAAGCCTATTCATAGACTTCATACCGGGGCTCCATGGCTTCAGATCTCTTCTAGCTCTCAAAGCCTATCATCTTACGGAAGCAATATTTAACCCAATCATGGAGGAAAAAATGGTAACTCTTCCTCATCACTGCCAAGATGAACAATGTGTAAGAAGAAAGGAAGAATATGATAGCTGAATCATGATAGCTAAGCACAAAAATACTAAAGTGAAATACTTTAGGAAAGTGACTTGAAAAACCAGAACAGACAAGCAGCGAAAAAAGTAAATAATGAAGTCAAACATGGGCCAAGGTTTTTGTGAACTAGGGAAAAAGAAGCTAAAGTGGAATGACCATATTAATAAATGCTTTCCTGAAAAGTTGCCAAATAAAGCAAATTTTTACAGATCATTTCCTAAATTCCCATAATAAAATTAGAAATGCTTCTATGAAAACATGAATTCCCAATACATCATAAATCATAGGAATGAATGCAAAAAAATTTAATCACAAAGTTAAAACCAAATTTTATTAATATAGTAATAAAGTATAAAGTAGCACATGGACTTCTGCCTTGTTCTTTGTTTCATTTTCTTTTTTAAAAATAAATTTAAAAGTATCTAATCTACTGTCTCTATTTTAATTAAAATTTAAAACCAAGACACTCAAGTGTAGGATAGTACTGTAAGATATCAGACTTTAGAACAAGGAAAAAAGATTAGAAAAATAGATTTGGAATTTAGGGAAGAGACCTTTGGAAAACAGGCTTCATAAAGGCTTTAGTTTCAGATGGTGATATTCTAAGAAATTTTAGAGAGGTCACTCAACCCCATTCACTCATCCAGGTCCATTCCTCAAATCTTGCCCACTTTTCTCTATTACCACAAGAAACAGTAATGGTTAACAAATGATCCCCTATGGGCCTTCCAAACCTAAAAGTCTAAGATCACTCAACTTTAAAAATAAGTGCCTTGGGAATAACTCCGGAAGGATCCACAAGAACCTGAGACAAACTAGAGAGCTAAAAATAAAGGGAGAGTGTTCGCTAGATATCCAGTGGTCCCTTTTGAGTTCTGTATTATGTGCATTCATTTTATTTTTAATTTAAAGAACTTAATCATTTGTTGCATTTTACTGCCATGTATGAAAAAACAGTAACAAATATTATGCATGCCATCTGCAGGTAACAGCAAAAAGTGCTTTGGTGGAAAAGCAAAACAACAAAAAGCATTAGCCATCAAAGAGCCCCATGAAAATAATTCCAGAACATTAATTAAGTTGAAAAAAAGCCTAATGATTTATATGAAAAATATTAAAAATTGTTCAAAGAGACATATAATTATATATTCTCCCAAGCTCCACAGCTTGGGACCAAAGGCCCTGTATAATTGAAACTCTGAAACTTGGGTTGGGCCAGTGCTGGGGTGTTTTTTCCTTTTCCCTAAGGAAACATCAAGAGAGATCATTTTAACTGTTCTAAAGTCCTGTGCAGGCCTTCAAAGCCTTGTGTTTCTGGACCCTGCCCTTTCCTAGGAATGGTTCCAGTACCCAGGGAAACTTCTGGAGCCTTATAAAGACAGGAAGTAAAAACAATGCTCCCAGGGACAAGCAGAGTCCTTGCCTGACTCTAAGCTTTTGCTTTCCTGCCTGATGACCTTGCTCACAGTCACCCGACTGTGCCTCTGGAAACAGTGCTCTTACATTTCATCCCTTTGCTGAGAATTTTTTCTTATTTGTGCTTATACGTGCTTGTATTTTGACAGTTTCTTGGGTGATTTTGATAAAACTCCACCTTCCTACTTTCATTAACAATCACTAGGAATCCTGGGCTCTAATCAGGCTGGCTTCCTCAGGGTCTCACAAATATTCTGAATTCACCTTCACCTCCTTGCCTCCTCTGTTTCCCATGATGCTCTGCACTTCTCCTCAACAATCCTCCCTACCTCAGCCCCAAACTTCACTTCTCCATTCTATCCAAACTCTGCATGCCCTTCAAAGACTAGCTCAAGTCCAGGTTCTCCAAAGCCTTTCCTAGCTCCTCCAACCCTACTCAATCTTTCACTCTGAAGGTCAACCATGGTCAGGATGCACCACACCATTTAGCCCCAGTACTTGCCATTGATTCGGGTGTTCGCCTGCTGTGAACGCATGCTCCCCAGTGGACCACACCTCACGCCTGCACAGTGAAGCATTTCATACACAGCTTCAGAGAAACAGCACAGTTGTGATTTTCAGGGATAGCATTTGTTTTACTCTAATCAATTTCAGGGGACTGGGGACATACCATGCTTTGCTATAGCAATTATATTAATTTTCACACTAACATGGAGAAACAGCTATAATGTTTGAGGAGGCACACACCTACAGTTTGCATAACGCGTCCTGAGGTGTCAAGGGGGAGGTGGGAGACACAGGACCAACCAAAAAGATGGAGAGCCCTGGAGTTAGAGTACAGTTCTCATCAGGGGGAGAATAACTAAGATGAGAGAATGAGTTCCCTCGGCTAATGGCAAAAAGGAGCCATTCTTCAGGAAAATGGCACTGTCCCACCACTTTGACCCTGTGTCCTAACTGTAGAGAACTCACTGTTAATGAGGGTCTATGATATCCAGAATGAATAACTGAAGCAATAACCAACAGGTGGGGTACTTGTAAGGAACCAGGTGGCAGCCAGGCGCAACACCCACACAATTCACCGAAAGGGATCCTGTGAACAAAAAGGGGAAAGGGCAAGATGACTGTTCTCTTACAGACTAAAGACAGCGCTAAAGAGTATGGGATAGATAAAGTTATTTCCTATTATTGAATTATATACTTACAATGTATGAATTTTATGATATGTAAATCATGCCTCAGTAACTGTTTAAAAAAAATTTTGGTGACTTGAGCTGGAGTATTTATTTTCACGTGGCGAACCATCTGACAGTCCAGTAAGGAGAGAGTATTGCAGGTTTTCATTAGGGTTTCAAGACAGAAGGCACAAAACCTCTAGTGCAAAAACTGAAATTTTTTTTATCATATTAAGATAGGAGAGTTTCCTATAAACAATGAAAATTACCAGAATATAGCCTTTGAGACATATATATCCACATACAATAAAACTCAAATCATATAAAACTACTGAAAGAATGAGAACCACACAGCTAGTGGGGATAGTTTCTGCGAAAGGAAAAATGGAAGGGGGTGGGGGTGCAAAGAAAAACAAATGACTATTTAAGAGGGTGGTAGCTGAAAAAAAGCAGAACTGATGAAAGAAAGGAAGTCTTAGAAATCACTGCTATTGGCCAAGAAGCTTAGTTTACCTCCCCCAGGGTCATAAAGTCTGCCTTGGCACAGGTTCTTTCAAAAAGGGCTAAAGGATATTTTTCCTTTAATAGCAAACAAGGGAAATAAGAAAGCCACACAGGAAGAAGTAAAAGGCAACTTAATTTAATGCAGAGGAGAGGTTGCTGATAGCTTAGTACAAGGACCCAAAATAGGAGTTTAGGATAATACTTCTCAAATTAACACTTATGTACCACCTGTAAACTAATGTTTTTAAGTGACAGAATAAAACTGTCTATATCTTTCTTACATCTGAGAAACAAATTTCTTTCATTTACTTGAGCTTCTCAGAGTAACAACGGGGCCATATTCCATTATAATGAAGATAAACATAAAGGAATCAACTTTTATTTGCATACCTCTTATGCGCCAGATACTTTATCAAATACATCTCCTTATAATAAATTCTGCAAAAGTTGCTATCCCCATTTCATAGATGAATAAACTGAGGCTCAGGATAAAGAGTCTGCCCAAGGACACATAACTTCTTTCTCAACAATGAATGTGAGATGTGAACCTCACCCCAAAATCCACGCTTTTTACCCTGTATCATACTACCTCTATAAAATACTTCCTACCATGTCACTACACACTACACATTTACAGAAGCAAGTTACTGAAATGGCAGTAACTGGCAACAAGAAGCCACAGCTGGAGGGAAAAGAGAAGGAAAAACTATAAAGCAACTAAAACATGAAAGTGGGGGACAATTTAATGTAATTACCAATAGCCTATAAACCTCAGAAGGCAAGTCAGCAGCACACAATAGTACTTGATGCACACAATGAATTCTACATACTACATCCTCCAAATCATCTTGGTTAAATTGAGTTTGAAGAACCTCATTTAAGAAGACCAGGAAAAGCTTTAGAATGCATTTTACCAAAAATGACATCTAAAATCAATTTTTTAAAAAGATCACCTTCTTATAGCCCTTCTATTTGTAATCCTGGGAAGACAGTGAACTACCTTTTGTCTCTCCACTTTCTCATCTGTAAAATAAAAATAATAATAGTACCTAACTAGTGGGGCTGATATATTAATCCATCAAATGAATACATACAAATCACTCAGAACAGTTCTTGACAAAGAGCAAGTGTCTGATACATTTTAGCTAGTAAAGTCATTGTCTTCAAATGAAGGAATACTTCATTACTTCATGCTTCATTACTTCATGCTAGGTAAATGAGATATTACTATACTGTGATCCATATAACACAGATAATGAATGGCAGAGACTGGGTGAGAGATGAAGACTGAAAAAGAGAATATAAAAAAGTGAGAGACGAATGTACACAAAAAAAGCAATAAAGAGAGGTATTAAGTCACCAGTCTGCTCACACTTCTATCAATATTTATCTCATCATATTATAATCAGTTGTTTCCTCATAGGCTGTGAGCCCTTTGAGGGCAGGCACTTACTTTTTTATTATCAGCCCAACACTGTGCCTGCAACAAAGCAGATACTAAATGTATAACAAAATAAGGAGGTGGGACTCAGATTTGAGATCAAAGATGAGACTATCTGATTTTACCATGTCCTAATTGGGCTGGGGGGCAGAGTCAGTAAAGACTTATTATCACTTTTTATTTAATTGATTATCAATATTCTATTCCCCTATTCTTTTTCAACTTGGAAATAAATTTCAAAAATGTTTAAAAATAGTTCTAGTTTAAAAATTGCTCTAAAAGTAGAAATCTTTTAAATAGTGATCAAATTTCAGTAATTTATTTTTAACATTAAAACTATTGCTCTGATTAGCTTGTTATGTCCAAAAGTTAATCCTAATGGTCAAAAGGTCAGAGAGTCATAGCAAAAAACAAATACTAAATAAGAGACACACCTACTTTACAGCAGTTAATCTCTTAGATGCAGTGCGGACACAAAAACTGTAAGACATGGTCACTTCCCTCTGACCTCTGGTACCAAAGTAAGCTATTTGGGGATGACCAACCTCAAACCCCTTGTCTGGGACCACCCTTCCCCAGGTGCTGTGAAGTGCTCAGCCTAAGCAATGCCCCTTACCCCATAGATGTTTGGTACAGGAGGTACCCTTAGCCCAAGCAAGATAGGTCAAATCCAGTCCTTCTCCAGGAATTTGGAAAGCTGAGAAACAAAACTTAAGTTGAAAGATCCTGTATCACCCAGTCTCGTCTGGAGGTAGCATCACAGCAAGCACCAGTGCAAATGAAAGTCACATTCACGCTGAAGCTAAGGGAAAAGCAGAAGCCAAGAGAAAGCCAGTTGATAAAGGAGAATGGAGTAGGGCTGGGGCATTTGCTTCAGGTGCAAGATTGAACAGGACACCAAGAAACTCAGTAATCAAGATAGATAATAATTGTAATGCACAGTATTTTTAAAAATCCAAATTGCTGTCCTGGAATGGAGCAGAGGCACAGAAAGAAGCCGAAGAGTCCATGCAAACTGCAGTCAGAGGGAGGAAGGACAGGGACTTTCCGAGCACCCGGCCCTGGGTTCCAGCTCTAGTTCATTTCAAGGAGCTCGCCTGCCTTAACTAACAACCCACTACAACTCCCAAGCCTGGCATCGAACCTTCTAGTAGGCTAGCTTAAGTGGGTGGTGTTCCCAGAGACCTAAGAGCCTTGACTTTATTAATAAACTCTATTTGGGAAAATGGGACATGCACATAAAGTTTTTGCTTTTTTAAATCAAGGCAGTATATAATTAACTGACAAAAGAACGGTACTGGCAATTAGTGCTACAGAAGTTCAGAGATCACTTCCCGTGGGTGGTCAGGGAAGGACAGATGTAGCTAGATAGAGGGGGGAGGAGCAGTATACCATGTAGAGAGATCAAAGTACATGCTCAAAAGGGGTGGGAGGAGGATGGGAAGGGAGCCAGGGAAAGCACAGGAAGAAAAGTAAAGGGGAAGGCATGATCTTCCCACACCCCGTATTACAGCCAAAGTAAAACACTCCACGCTCTTCTGCCTCCAGCCCCCAGATTACACTGTTCACTTTTCTCATGCTCAAATCCTTTTACATCTTTCAGAGACCAGTTCAAACAACAGTTCTTTGAAGAGGCTCCCCTGGTATCCTACCCAAAAGGAGATATAGGCCAGAACTCCTATCTGGCAGTGGAAAAAGAGAGAGCAGAGGATATGCAGAAGGAAAGGCTAACTAAGAAGCTGAACGCGGTGATGAGGGGTCCTCTGGTGGAACGCAAACTATACCCAGGAGATCAGTTAGGAAGCGGTCCAATGTCCTGGAGAGTAGGAAGAGAGATCGTTTGACCAGGGGGAGGAATGGAGGCTCAAGAAAACTGGCAAAGAAAAAGCAGGTATAGAGGGCGTGCTGATAGCTAACAGAAAGGCCGAAATGCACTGAAGGCCTTGCAGAGGTAAAAATGTGCAAATCTGACAAGGTCCATTTGTGTGTGGTTCTGTGATTTTCTCCAAGAAACTGCAGATCTTAGGGACAAACAAGTGGAAAAACAGGGGCAGCAGGGGAGGGGGGTGACTTTTAAATAATCACTTATTGATATTTCCCAATCAAATTAAGTTTTCCCCACTTCCCCCTGTCCCCAATCCCACCCCACCCACTCCCTCTCTTGCCAAGCAAATCTAGCACCCCAGTGGCCATTAAAATAAAGAGGAAACAAAGATGGGAGGAAAAAAAGAGAACAGTTCTTTAAAAATACAACTTGGGTTAATAGTTGCCCACCATGAACAGAAATAAATCCTGGGGTTGTATCTAATCTTGCCATGCTTGCCCCAGAATAAAGGCTGAGGATGCCAGACCTATAATGGATACATCTGAGGGGCCTCCTCTCTTTTCACTGGTACGCATATCAAGGAAATACTGCCTAACAACTCATCATTAAAATGACAGCATCACACCCAGGGAACCAAAACATTTTGCTGGCTATAATTTTCCACATGGAAATTCCCTACTTTACAATGAATGATATCGTGCTCAAAGGGGCTGCTATATTATAGGCTTAAGGAACTACAACAATCTTACCCACAAGTCTATATACATATGAAATAATACATACATATCAGACAATTGCTCCTGGCTTAAAAAACTATAAGCTCTAGTAAGTGTTTTAAACCCCAGGAGAATGCTTTAGAAATAAACCCAATTTGCCACCACGCTCTCATTCACTCTTGTCCACTCAGGCCTCATTTCCTCCCAGCTTAGCACATTTTCACCCATTTTCTCACAAACACGTCAGGAATTGTGTTCACTTGTGTGTCTTGTAGTGATATCAGTGCTTAGATATGCCCAGATGTGAAACCGTTTACTTGTAAAGGGTTATCTTTGTGTATCAGTTACCTTAGTTTGTAAGCTTGTCTTGGTGTGTTTGTGTTTCTTCCTTAGCAAGTAGGTGTAGGTGTTTGAGTATACATACCTGAGGGA